ATAATGCACTAAATCTACGCTTACTTACATAGAACCTTATAATTTATAATATCAGTACATGGTTTGATCACGCCATCACGGCATCAGAAATATAGTAGGCTCTATAGTTACTGTCTATACGTATATAGTATACTTGCACTTATTTATGTTTAAGTCTTAAAGTAGGTGTGTATAGTTCATATAGACACGAACAACCGATCTAAACCTATTTAATGATAATTAATATTCTGCCATGATGCTTAATGGAAAATTGAGATTTTATTGTCACGAATGCTATAGCTCATAGATTACGGGCTTACGGCCACTTTTGATGCGCTGTGCATTTTAAAAGAATAGAAATCCACGCCACGAACAAACGGGACACACAACATATATTTAAAAAAAAGCAAAGTGTAAAATATATAAAATATTTAGGTGTCTATGACATTTATTGTACATCAGCTGTTTTGAAGTATACATACGATCAAATGAATTATTATTTGGAAAAACGAATAATTTTAGGTTTCGGTAATACCTTATATATGTATATGTATACATACGTACATATTATACGAGCATATTATACATTATCGATTACATTTATTATTCATCACGATTATCAATTGGAACCGTTTTCGGAATTTATTATACAATCATTTTTGTTTAATATGTATAATACATTTAAAATTTTCGTAATTTGATAAAAAAAAAAACACGAAATACAATTTACACGATTTTATTTTAAACATTTAAATCTTAAATTTTAATTAAATTCGTTAAAATCAAGAATATACGTAAATTATTTTGTAGTAAAAATTCATAACATCTTGATTGTTGACACAAAATGCTTGAACATTTAACACAAGATTCTTCATTAACTGTTTTTTATTGAAATGAAAATAGCGTAATTTTTGAGTTTAAATAAAAACAAATTCAAAAATCAACTTTTAAAAATATTTATCAGCAATTTCTATTTTTTTAATAGATATCCTTAATTAGAACAAAATTATCAAAAATATTTTGAAAATTATTTGATTCATAATACATGTTAACTACTTAAAATTTTAAATGGTATATGGTATATCTAAAGTAGYCATTTTTGATTATAACGACGAAAACTGAGAGTAGATTTTGTAAAATACTGGTCAAAAATTTCAGTATTTTCTAAATTTGTTTTATTTTTCCTGATTATTTTGAAAAGCACCTACTGGGAATTTTTATTTTTGATCCCCGACAGCACAAACTAGATCTTATCATTGTTTTCTAATTCTACATATCACGTGATATACCTACACATTTTTTTTTAAAAACCTACATCATTCTGTAACATTGCTCTGATCAGAATCTAAAAAGCTCATTTATTTATTTTATCTTTCAAGAAAAATAATTGTCACTTGTAAGTTATTGAGTATAATTCATTTGATAGTGAACATTTATGCATATAAATATTTTTTTTTTTAATGGAAAAATCTGTCTTGAATAGCATTAATTTCGAAATCGTAAGCAACTATAAAATATTTTATTTTCACTATCTAATTTATTTTAAAATCAATTGCTGCAACATAAGATTTGAAAAATAAAAACGAAAATAAATATTGACAATGTGAATAAACACAGCGGAAAACCCATTTACCTACGTAATATATAGTAATGTTACTTATCAATTCATACAAGAGTAATGATTAGGTATACTATATAGGTACATAATATTATATAGATCAAAGTCAATATTTATATTTTATTGGCCGTGAGTATTTATCAATGCTAATTTGTGCAAATGGCTCAATAATTTTAGTAATACGAAATTAAACAAATTAATTTTGTTAGACGATTGTGTCATGTTTTAGTTCATTCATAAAATACGTAAACGTATGGAAGTCATAGCGTACCTACCGAAATGTGATTTTCCCT